TGGACAGACACACACTCAGGCTGCTTCATGGAGCCCAGCTCCTCCCTGGAAACTGCTGAAAACTGAGGCTGACATCCCAGAGGAACACAGACTAGAAAGGAACCCCAGCCTGGAGGATGCCTTGCAGTACAATACCCATCAGCCAATGCCCTGGAAGAAACCTGAAGGACTCCATTGGGGACCCTCATACTGTCCTTGTGGACTCATGCACTGGAACTGTGCCCTGCATGCCTAGAAGCCTTGGCTGTGCTGGTCATTCTTATTTTGTTCTTTCTCTCCTGAATGGATTAAAGGTTCTTCAATAAGAATAAATAAATAAATAAATAAATAATAAAAATATATGTGCTTACCTTATTATGTTCTTCAGAATTACCAGCTGATAACTTAAACATCTTCTCCCTGCCAAGTATGCTCCCAGCCCTTTTTTGTTTTTATCTTGAAGGGCTGAGGCTGTAGCTCAGTGGTACAGTGCTTGCCTAGCATGCCTGAAGCCCTGGGTCCATTCCCCAACACTGATAAAACAAAAATTAATTATAAATTATTAATCTTATTTTGAGAAAGGATGTGGCCAGGTTGCTGAGGCTGGCCTGGAACTTGCCATCCTCCAGCCTCGGCATCCCAAGTTGCTGGGACAACAGACCAGTGCTTCCACACCTGGCTTGTTTCTCATTTTGAGACAGGGTCTGACTAAATTGTCCAGGCTGTTCTCAAACTTGCAATCCTCCTGCCTCAGCCTCCTGAGTAGCTGCAGTTATACGTATGCACCACTTGTAATTCTTTTTTAAACTGCTAAAAAATAAAAATAAATATGTACATGCAAATGATTCTTATAAAATAATGATGGGGGGCTGGGGATGTGGCTCAAGCGGTAGCGCGATCACCTGGGCATGTGTGCGGCCTGGGTTCGATCCTCAGCACCACATACAAACAAAGATGTTGTGTCTGCTGAGAACTAAAAAATAAATATTAAAATAAATAAATAAATAAATAAAATAATGATGGACTGTAAAAACATTTTTATGGAACTCGATTTTTCTGGGGGAAAGGGTAGATTGAACCCAGGGCCTTGCATAGGCAAACACTCCACCACTGATCTAAATCCCTGGCCCCTTCTTGTTATTCCTTTGTTTGTTTGGAAACAAAGTCTCAGTAAGGTACTGAGAACTGGCTAAGTTGCAGAGGTTGGCCTCAAACTTGCAGTCCTCCTGCCTCAGCCTCCCAAGTCACTGGGATTATAGGCATGTGCCAACATGCCTAGATTACTCAATTTATTGAGCTAAATGTCTACATTTTATTCAGATAAGTGTTTTAGTCAGCTTTTTCAACCAGCACAATTGTAGAGGAGGAAAAGTTTATTTGAGGGCTCACGGTTTCTGAGATCTTAGTCCATAGAAGGCCAGATCCATTTCTCAGGGTTTGAGGTAAGGCTGAACATCGTGGTGGAAGAGTGTGGCAGAGGGAACCAGCCCACAAGATGATCAGGAAGCAGAGAGAGAGTCCACTCACCAGATACAAATATATACCCAAAGCCACTTGACCCATTTGCTGAATGCACCACTCAGTCATCGGATTAAATCACTGATTGGGTTAAGACTCTCACAACCCAATCATTTCTCCTCTGAATCATCTTGCACCATCTTCCACCTGAGCTTTTGGGGGACACCTCATATCCAAACCATAACAATAAGTTTCTGTAAGAGGGACAAGTGGATAAAGCAACTTTGAATTTAGTTTCTGCTTAATACCAGAATGATAATAGTATATCAAGTCTCTAGGGTTTGGCAGGACCTGACGGAGAATAGGGTCATTGAGCTTGCACATCAGAGTCCCCTGGGAACCTTAAAACATGTCACCATCAGGTCCCACCCTGTGCCCATCTGCCCCCAGACACAGACCTGGCGTGGGAATGTTAAGACGCCCTGGGTAGCTTAACACTTGGCAAGTTTGAAAGCCTCAATTTGGAGCAGTGATCTCAAACTGTGGTCTGCAAACAGCAGTGTCAACATCACTTGGGAACTTTCTAGAAATGCAAAAAAAAAAAAAAAAATAAGAAAAATCCCAGGCCCACCCCGGTGGGCAGAGCATTAATTGAGATCCAAGGATCTAAGAATAAACAGGGCATTAAACCCAGAGGCCTCCCTGGGGTGAGGGCCGGGCAGGCCTGGAGCCCCTGTGAGCCGGCTACCCCACGCCCACCTTCCCTCCAGCCAGCGCCCCTGGCTCAGGGGAGGATCCTGTGATCCAACACTGCTCCCTCCGCAGTGTCCTGGAGCCCGGGTTCTCCTTGCTGGGAAACACTCACGTCTTCTGTTTTCTCTGCTTTCCCTCTTGTCATCCTAGAAGTGGAGTTCCATAGACAAAAGCAGAAACTTCCCCCAGGGGCTCCTGGACAGGATGACTGTGTGCATCTTTGCTTTGACAATGTCACCTGCATAATGGGACACGATGGGACACCCCGTGATATATCTCACTGTTCCCTGAATGTCTTTTTTTTTTTTTTTAAACAGGAATGGAACCCAGGGGCACTTAAACACTAAGTCACATCCCCAACCCTTTCTATTTTTTATTTTGAGACAGGGTCTCCCTAAGTTGCTTAGGGCTTCACTAAATTGCTGAGGCTAGCCTCAAAGTTGGATTCTTCCTGCCTCAGCCTCCCCAGTCACTGGGATTACAGGTGTGCGGCCCCCTGCCCAGCCTCTGACCATCTTAAAACGGGTTTTCCCTTTACCTGTTGATTGAAAGACATTGTTTCTTCTGGCGAATGACCCCTGGATCCCAGGCTCTCTGGATTTCTTTTCCATCCCCCACCCCACTTCTCTCCATCCAGGTAGACATTTGTACCCTTCCTGCCTCCCTATCTATCCTGAGCATCCAGAACAGAACTAAGCTTGAACTTGACCCATTTGCTGAATGCACAGTGAACGCATATTGCATACAAACATACTGAATCTTTTTCCCAGTTATCCTGTGGCTAAATCTAAATTTGTCTGGGGCTGGGGATGTCGCTCAGTGGTAAAGAGCTGGCTTGGCGGGGCTGGGGATGTGGCTCAAGCGGTAGCACGCTCGCCTGGCATGCGTGCGGCCTGGGTTCGATCCTCAGCACCACATACCAACAAAGATGTTGTGTCGGCCGAGAACTAATAAATA